TTGGTTGGGATGAAAAAAATTTTTTATATAATTTTCAGAGCTCATAGTTTGAGTTTTAAAATTTAGCTGAAAAATTTGTCTAACAACCCCCCCGTTGTGCTCGTTATCTCCCGGGGCTTCTGTGTTGCGGGGCAGCAGCAGAAAGGAGTCACGGAATCAGGAGGATGATCACACCTCGCCTGGAGTACTCTGGCCTGGGGGGCCTCCTTTTCTGTTTTGGCTTGGCTTCCGACAAGAAAATGTCTTCCTTGTGGCCCTGGGGATTTCAAATTGTAAACTTAGATTCAGTAGTATGGGATTTTTTGTGATTTTTGTGGGGATTGCAGATGGCCCCAAATTGTGCCCTTTATATTATCTCCTTTTTCCCTGTTCTGTTTGCTGTTGCTTGTTATATTGCTTTTTTCGGTTTTTCAGTCTTTAAATTTTTTCAACAAAGCTGTCGGTTTGAAAAGGGGTTGATCAAGAATTGGGTTTAAATTTGAGGGATTTTTTTAGCCATTTCACTGGTGAAGTCTAGTCATTTTTAAAGACATAAGAAATACTTAGAACACTTCCCTACAACAAATTTAAATTGTAAAATTTTTAATTATTTTTTCCCAACTTCTAACACTTTCCCCAAGACGGTACTCTAAGCCATAAAAAAATGTGATATGACCTTCAGCACAATATACTGACACCGGGAGAAGTGTTTAAATTTTTATTTTTTTTAAATTTTAAAATTTAAATTTTTGATAATATATACCTAGACAACTTTTTTTAAATAAACTTTTTTAAAATTTTAATTATTTTTGTTAGTAGCCTCCAGTTGAAATTCCGAAGCACTCTGAATCTTACTAAATTTCCCTAATGGATAATTGGACCAGGAAAACCGACTCTTGTTAAAAAAACCCCTGAAAACAGGCCTGGATGCTAAAAGGGGCAGTCCTTTCTATTTGGTTCCCCGGAGATCTCTTTTTCTTTTAGAAACGCTTTGGGGGGGGTAAAAAAACAGTGCCAGACCCCAGCGGGTGAACAGTGCTGGGACAAACGTTTAAAACCGTGTAGACCAGCGGGGAAAACAGGTTGACACAGTTTGGTGAAGTGCAAAAACACAGCTGATAAATTTTTGCCGGGGACAAAAGCTGGTGAAAAAGTGCCGGAACAGCGGGTTGAACAGTGCCAGACACAGGGGTAAACTTGCCCAGACCCAGCGGGGAAAAACAGTGCCAGACACAATTTTGTGAACAGTGCCAGACCAGCGGGTTTAAAACAGTGCCAGACACAGGGGGGGGGAACAGTGTAGACAACTGAGGGAACCGTCCCAACACACTGGGGGAAACGTCCCAGACACACAGTGAACAGTGCAAGACAGGGGTGAAAAAGGGGCTAGACCCCAGCTGGTAAACCCAGTGCCCAGACACAGCTGGTAAACCCAGTCCCAGACCCCCTTTTGGTGACCGTGCCAGCCCACAGCTGGGGACCAGGGGCCAGACAAAAGTGGTGACCATGCCGGGCCCACAGCTGGTGACCGTGCCAGAAGCTTTTGAACTTGGCCAGACACCCCTGGTGAACATGCAAACCAGTGGTGAACATCCCCGACACAGCTGGTGAACATTTGCTAGACAGCTGGTGAAACGTGCCAGACAGCGGGTTAAACAGTGCTAGACCACAGGGTAAACTTGCGCCCACAGCTGGTGAACGTCCCAAAACCCCGGGGGAAAACCCAGTGCCAACACGGGTTTTGTGAACAGTGTCAGACACACTAAAACAGTGCCACAAACCCCTGGTAAAACAGTCCGGGAAAAAGCTGGAAAAACAGTCCCAGAAAACAGCTGGTGAACAGTGTCAGCACAGTGGTAAACCTTGTCAACAGTGGTAAAACAGTGCCAGACCAGGGGTGAACAGTCCAGACACGGGCTGGGTGAACATTTGCCAGACACAGCAAGTAAAACGTCCCACACACAGCGGGGTTGAACATTGCCTTTACAAAGTTGGTGAACAGGGCAGAACGGGCCTTGGTTAACCGTGTCAGACCACCCTGGTGAACGGGTGCCACACACAGCTGGTGAACAGTGCAGACACAGTGGGGGACCGCCAGACCCAGGGGTTTGAACATGTCAGACAAAACTGGTGACCAGTGCCGAAAAAAAAAAACAGCGGGTGACCAGTGCCAGACACGGGGTTTTGAACAGGCCAGACACAGATGGTGACCAGTGCCAGCCCAAGCTGGTGACCAGTGCCAGAACAAGCTGGTGAACAGTGCCCAAAACACAGCTGGTGCCCCATTCCCGACACAGCTGGTGCCCCTCCCCAGAAAAACAGCGGGTAAAACAGGCCAACCCCAGCTGGTGAACAGGGGCCAGACACAGGGGTGAACAGTGCCGGGACACAGCTGGGAACAGTGCCAGACACAGCTGGTGAAAAAGTGCCCCGGGAAACGCGGGGTGCCCCAGTGCCGGGACAAAACCTGGTAAACCGTTCAACAGTTGTTGAACAGTGCCAGACACAGCTGAACATTTGCCGACAAGCTGGTGAACAGTGGCCAGCCACAGCGGGAAAAATCCCCCAGACGCGGGTTTGAACGGGCCCCCGCACAGCTGGTGAACATGCCCCGACCCAGCTGGTAACAGTGCCGGGACACAGTGGTGAACAGTCCCAGACCCCGCGGGGAAAAACAGTGCTAACAAAGCGGGGAAACAGTGCCCGAAAACAGTGGTAAAACAGTGCCGCCGCGGGGGAAACGGGGCCAAAACACAGAGGTAAAACGGCCAAAACCCCAGCGGTGAACAGGGGCCCAGACAGGGGTGAACATTTGCCAGACCAGCTGGGAACATTGCTAGCACAGGGTGAAACAGTCCCCACACAGCTGGTGAACATGCCGACCCCCGCTGGTGAAACATTTGCCAGCCACAGGTAAAAATGATAATCATGGGAATGAAAATTTTATTGAATTTCAAAGATTTAAATTGGGGATCATCACAGACTCAACATACTCATCAAAAGGGGCTCACCAGGGGACCCCCTAAATTGAATATCACCCCAAAATCATAGATTCATTACAAAACCCCTCAGTTTCCCTTTACAGACTATCCCGGGACTATGTTAATAAATTATATTCCAGTTTACACTGACTCTGATTTATTCTGAAAGAAGAAAATGGTAGTTTCAAAAACCCCTTGGCCCAAGATTTTTAAATCAGACTTGAGGTACCTTCCAGGCCATCATACTCAAAATTTTAAAAACGATGATCAAAATTTCGGAAATTTTTCCAGCAAAAAATTACTCGGTTTTCCTAACACTTTTGTTTACGGGGGAAAGAGTCAATGCTTGGATAAAAAAAACCTTTTCCAGCTTTAAAGGGGAAGGCAAACAAAAACTTTTTATTATTTCCCATCATTAAAAATTTTTTAAGGGAAAGCGCTAAGAGGGTGGGGGTCATGGGGTGTCTAGGAAAAAGGGGGTGGTTTTTGTTTTCTGGCTAGGAGCAGCGGGCAAAATGTTTAGCTAGGAAGAGCAGCAGCAAAAAACAGACTGTTGCAATTGAGGGGCCAGCAGCGGGGACGGGCTACTAGTGAAGCAGCAGCAGCGCTAGCTATTAGAGCAGCAGCGCAGCCAAAAAAGCTAGTGAAAGCAGCACAGCAGACTGCTAGTGTGAGAGCAGAAACGCAAAATGCTAGCAAGTGAGAGCAGCAGCAGATTTGCTAGCCTAGTGAGAGCAGCGGGAAAGCAGCAGCAGACTTTTTGCAAAGTGAGACCCGCAGCAGCGCCCTTGTTTAGCTTAGTGAAAAGCGGAAAGCAGCAGGAATGTATAGTAAAGGCACACCCAGCAGTACTAGTAGGAGGCATCAGCAGCAGCAGATGCAAGTAGTGATGCACGGGCAGCACAGCAAAACTGCTAGCTAGGGGAAAGCAGCGCAGCAGCAGCAGACGAAAACCAAGTGAAGCAGAGCAACTGTAGCTAGTGAGAGCGCACAGACGCTAACTAGTGGGGAGCACACAGAAAGATGTACCCTTAGTGGAAGCAGCGCAGCGACGTAGCTATTGGGGGGGTTGGAGCAGCAGGCTGTAGTTTAGAGAGACCCAGCAGCAAAAGGAATGCTAGTAGTGAGAGCAGCGCACAGGCTATTTAGTGAAGCAGCACAGAAGATGCTAGTTAGGCGCAGCAGACTCCCTAGCTAGAGAGAGCCAGAGCAGATGCTAGCTAGAGAGCAGAAAGCAGCAGTAAAACTTCTAGCAAGTGAGAGAAAGCAGCAGCAGACTGTAGCTGTGAGAGCACAGCACAGACTGCTAGTTAGTGAAGAAGCAGCAACAACTGCTAGTTAGTGAGAGCGGGCAAAAAGTTTGCAAGTGAGAGCAGCAGCAGGAGGGGGTAGCCGTGAGGCGAAGCAAAATTGCTAGCAAGTGGAGCAGCAGCAACTGCTAGTGTGAGAGCACAGAAAGACAAATGCAGTGAGAGCACCCACAGACGCTGCTGGGAAAAACCCAATACGCTAGCAGTGAGTAAAAAAAAGACTGCTAGCAAGGAAAGTAGCAGAAGACAAAATAGGAGAGTAGAAAAGCTAGTTAGTGAAGTAGCAGAAATGCTAGTAGTAAAAGTGGGCGAAATGCTAGTAGGGGAGAGTAGCAGTAGACGCTAGCTGGGTGAGAATAGCAAGATTTCTACCCCTAGTGAGGAAAGCAGCAAAAATGCTGCTGGTGAGCGCGCAGACACCTAGCTTTTAAGTTTTAAAACACTAGCAAAATACTTTTTACTTTTATAATACTGTGACTGTAAAAAATAACTGAATTTCGGGTTTTATAAAAACAACAAGGTGACAAGGGGACTGTATCATTTAAAACTTCAGTATATCGGGGAACTGTTTTAAATTTAAGGCGGTTAGGTTTTTGGGTCCACAGGCCAGCCCCGGGCCCAAATTATTATGTTTAAATGCTTGTCTCAAGGAAACGAAAACCCCAGTGCAACATTTTGGGGGGGAAAATTACCCCGGAAAACCAATTTTTAAAACTTAAAAAAATTGTTCTCAGCGACCCCAAATTTTTCTCCAAGGGACGGGAATGCAGCAAACCCCATATTCGAAGACCCATGTCTGCAAACGAAAAAGAAAATTTAAAAATTTTAACTTTCCCGGAAAAGGGAGTAAAAATGATTATTAAACAAAATTATGTTTATACAAGAAAAATGAGCATCAGTATGTGTTTATGTGTGTATTTCAGAGGGTTTTTTCCCAGTAGCCACATTTGAGCATTTGAAGCGAGGAAATTGTACCATCACCCTTTGGGACATTTTGTGAAAGGGTATTTTTCTGTACCGTTCCCTTGGCACTTGTAGAAAAGGTATTAACTTACCAGCCCCATACTTGAGCACTTGTAGCAAGGTTTATCGGGTCCCAGTCATCCTTGAGCACTTTTTGCAAGGTATTATCGTACCAGTCCAAACTTGAGCACTTGTAGAAAAGGTTTTAAATTTTGAAACCCAGTCAAAATTGAGAAACCTTTTTAGAAAGGGAATTCCCCTGACCAGTCATACTTGAGCCCCTTGTAGCAAAGGTATTATCTGTACCATCTTTAATTGGCATTGTAGAAAGGGGTATTATCTGTACCGTCAAAACTTGAGCACTTGTAGAAAGGTATTAACTGAAAACCGTCAAACTTGACATTTGTAGAAAGGTAAATCTGCCCATTCACCCCTTAAAGCACTTGTAGAAGGTATTTTCTGTACCAGTATCCCTTTAGCACTTGTAAAAGGAAATTATCTGTACCAGTCAAACTTAAGCATTTGTACCCAAAGGAATTAACTATACCTTCATACTTGGCATTTAGCGGGGTTTTTAACCCGTCCCCTAAAAAAACTTCAGCCTTGTAGCAAAAATTAACTGTCCCATCATATTGAGCACTTTTAGCGAGGTATTAATTTGTACCATCATTTTTTTTTGACCCACATGTAGCGAAGAATTAATTTTTCCCAGTCATACTTGAGCCTTGTAGCGAGGTTTTAAATTGTACCAAGTTACTTGCCCTTGTAGCAAAGGTTTTAAAACGAAACCATCCTATTTTAGCCCCTTGTAGCGATTTTTTAAATGTACAAAACAAAATTTGGGAGCACTTGTAGCAAAGGTTTAAAAACCCTTTACCATTAATATTTTGAGCACTTGTACCGAGGTATTAATTTCCAATCATACTTGAGCCTTGAAAGCGGGGTTTTAAACTGAAACCAGTCATACTTGACCCCCTTGTAGGGGGTTATTATATTAAACCAGTCATATTTTTGAGCACTTGAAACGGGGGGTAAAAAACTGTACGAATCATATTTGGGCCCATTTTGTAGCGGGGTTTTTAACTGGTACCAGTCTTACTTGAGCACTTGTAGGGGGGTTTTAAAATTTGTACCAGTCATACTTGAGCACTTGTACGAGGTATTAACTGTCCCGGCTTTTTTTTCATTTTGAGACTTTTTTAGAAAAGGTATTAATTTGTACCATCATTCTTGAGCTTTTTGTAGCGGGGTTTTAGCTGTACCAATCATATTTTGAGAAACTTGTACGGGTATTAAACTTACCCACATACCTGAGAAAATTTGTAGGAAGTTTTTAATTTTCCCAATCATCTTGAACACTTGTGGGGGAAAATTTAAAAACTGTAACGTCACCTTGAGCACTTGTAGCGAGGTATTAATTTGTCCCCAATCATACTTGACCCTTGTAGAAAGGGTTTACCTGTACCAGTCAAAACTTAGCACTATTAACCAGGTATTAACTGCACCAATCATACTTGAGCAATTGTAGTGAGGTATTAACAAACCTTCATGAGACTTGTAGCGAGGGTTTTAAAATTTTTCCAGCCCTACTTGACACAGTAGCGAGGAAAATTAACTGTACCAATCATCTTTGGCACTTGTAGCGAGGTATTAACGCCCAACATTTTTGGCACTTTTAGCGAGGTATTAACTGTACCAATCATACTTGAGCACTTGTAGCGAGGTATTAACTGTACCAATCATACTTGAGCACTTGTAGCGAGGTATTAACTGTACCAATCATACTTGAGCACTTGTAGCGAGGTATTAACTGCACCAAAATTTCATACTTGAGCATTGTAGCAAAGGAAATTAACTGTACCAATCATACTTGAGCCCCTTGTAGCGAGGTTTTAACTGAACCAATCTTTACTTGAGCACTTGTACGAGGTTTTAAACTGCCCAATCATACTTGAGAAACTTTTTAGCGAGGTTTTAAACTATATCGTAAATACTTGAGCCCCTTGTACGGGGTATTAACTGTACCAATCATACTTGAGACTTGTAGCGATTATTAACGTATCAGCATACTTGAGCACTTTTTAGCGGGGTATTAACTCCCCCAAAATCTACTTGGCACTTGTAGCGAGGTTTTAAACTGCAAAAAACAAAATTGACCCACTTGTAGCGAGGTATTTAACTTTTTCAGTCATATGGAAATTGAAAGCGAAAATTATTAAATGAAACCAATCAAAACTTGGGGCATTTTTTAAGCGGGGTTTTAAAACTGTTTCAGTCTTTCCCTTGAGCACTTTGGGCGAGGTTTTTAAAATTGTCCCAATCATACTTGAGCACTTGTAGCGGGTATTAACTCACCAATAAATACTTGGCACTTGTAGCGGGGTTTAAAAACCCTGAAACATTTCATATTGAGCCCCTTGTGGCGGGGTTTTAAAATTTACCAAAAACTTGACCCTTTTGTAGCGAGAAAATTAACTTTCCCGGGCCCAAATACTTGACCCACTTGTAGCGGGGTTTTGGACTGTATCGTCATCATTACGAAATTAAAAGGAGGTTTTTAAAACCTGTACCAACTCTACCTGAAAAATTGTAGGAGGTTTTAACTGCAACAGTATATTGGGGCACTTGTAGCGAAAATTTTAAAACTTTTACCAGTTTTATTTTACATTGTAGGAGGGTATTGACGGGTACCAGTCATCTTTTTTCCGGCACTTTAGGGTTAAAACTGTACCATCTTACCTGAACATTTTGTAGCGGGGTTTTAAACTGCAACAGTCTTTACTCAAAACCTTGTAGCAAGGTTTTAAAATACCTTTCGAACTTGAGCATTTGTACAAGGTATTAACTGTACCATTTCATACTTAAGCATTTTTTTTAAAACGAGGTATTATCTGTCCATTTTTCTTGAGCACTTTTTAGCGAGGTTTAGTTTGTCCCAAAACATCCCTAAACAAAAATTTGCGAGGAATTAACGGTTTCAATCATACTTGCTTTTTGTGGGAAAGGTTTTAAACTGTCCCAATTTCATTTAAGCACTTTTTCGGGGTATTATCTGAACCAATCATCCCTGGGACTTGTACAAGGTTTTAAAACTGTACCAATCAAAAGTGAGCACTTGAACGAGGTATTAACTGTCCCAATCATACGTGACCCCTTGAACCCGGGTTTTAAAAGTCCCCAATCATACTGAGCATTAAAGCGAGGTTTTTAAACTGAAACCGGTCAAACTTAGAAATTTGTAGCGAGGTATTAACTGAAACCAGTCCCCTTTTAAAGAAATTTGTAGGGGGGGAAAATTTTTCTGTACCAATCATCCGAGCACTTGAAAGAAAGGTTTTTTAACTGTCCCAATAAATTACGTTGCATTTTGAAGCGAGGTATAAACTGAAACCAATCCCCTTGAGCACTTGAAGCGAGGTTTTAATTTTTGGTCATAAGGGTATTCTTCCCTAGAGGGGGGAATATATTTAAGTTTTATTCAATCCACTGTGGGGGGCCAAACTTTAAACAAAAACCAAAATTTTTTAACTGTTATTTTACTGCAAATGTTTGTGTCTGCAAAAAACTTAAATGGGATAAATTAAGTAAAGAGCAAATTTAAATTTTCCGGGTTCGGATACCCAAAAGTTTGTAAAATTATTTTAAAAAAAAAAAAAAAAAAGATACTTTTTTTGTATATGATAGTAAAAACAAAGTTTCAATGGAGGTCTTTGTAAGTTTAAATTTGAAAGAGGGTTTCCCTTTCATTTGGCCCCCAAAGTTTCCCCTGATGTAAATATTTCCCTCGTTTCCCAATTTCGTGAGGGGTTTGTGAAGACTTGTTTTATGAAATACCAAAGGATGGCGTTAAAACTTTCCCGGGTTTAAAAATAAAAAAACCCACAGGAAATTTCATTTAAAAATGGGGCTAACAATTTGGAAGGAGCTGGGAGCAAAACCGGGGTGGTCTTTGGAAAAACCTGGGGTTGAAACCCTATTAAAGCTAAATTACAGAAAAAAAGCGAATGAAAGTCTTATTTCAGCTATCAGTTTTAAGTACAGTACAGTAAGTTACTATTTTTTTTGGGGAAAAAAAAAAAACCCAAAATTGAGAAAGATTTTAAAGGAAACCCTTTTAAAATTGCAAAAAATACAAACAATTAGATAAATAAAAACATACATTAAGAAACCCTTTCCAAAAGGGGTGAAACAACTTAAATCCCTTTCCCCAAAATCATTAAATTTTTGTCATCAGAATTTCCCTCAGTATTACCAGTAAGAAAAAATGTTTAAAAACCACCAACATTTTTTATGTCTTTTTTGGTTAAAAAATTTAACATACATCCCCGTCAATTCATACGTAAAAAATATGCAGACCCACGAAAGGATTTCCCACCAGGGATACATACACATTTTTTTTGGGACTTTTAAAAAAAAAAAACACATATGTTTCAAATAAAACATTCAAGTGTAATATGAAAAATAAAAATATACAAAAGGCACTAAAAATAAATCTTTAAAAATTTTACAATTTTTAATGGAAAAAAAAGGGAAAACCCCAACTTTTTATTAAAATTTTTTAAAATCCCGCCAAAACCTTTAGGGTTTAAAACATTTAACATCTCGCTCACAAAATTTAGGTTTTAAAACCCTTTAAATCTCGCTCACCTTCAGGTTAACACATTTTCCCCCTTTTCGCTCACACTTTATTTTTTCACAATTTTAAAATTCGCACCCATTCAAAGGTTTAAAACAAATTTAAAATCTCCTCACCCCTCCCGGTTTTAAAACAATTTAAGCAAAGTAGGGAAAAGATAAATTGAACAACCCTCGCGTACAACCCCCGGAATTCCA